CAGCCTCGTTTGTTCTTGGAAATGTTCGTTTTGGGTTGAAAATCGTTCTGTCGACTTTGCCATCTTCTTAGCAAAACCAATACCAGAGTAGACGAAGGCCGAAATACCCTTTGTTTTTTTTGTACTTTCTCTGTCTCCTGAGAAAAAGTCAACATTTGATTCTTGTATTTGTATTCTTTGTAATCCAAATATACGGACTTGACGTGGCCTTTAGAGAGAACTAGATGCTTGTCCCAGGCGAATGCCGGGAGATCGTAAGTGCATTAAATTTGTTAATACATTAAAAAAAAAACAATGCATAATCATCACCCTGGGTAATGTACTTTAGTTGCATGACATCCTTTCACTCTTTCTGTACCAGTTTGAAGCCGAACTGGAGAAAAAAACTATGAAAAATGTTATCCCACCAAACAATAGGGCCCTTCCAAGGTCATCTAATTGAATGTGATTAAATTTTGAAAAAATATAGTGTATTATGAGAAACTAATCACATATGAATCAAAGTGAAAAAAGATAGCATATCCACCAAAACAACAACGAAATCAAAGACTTGAAATACAAATACAAAAATAAATTGAAAACATAACTTGCGACGAAGTACACTTACTATTCCAGGTTTTTTTCTTTTGGGTAAATTGTACACATATGTTCCAAACATAGTCTAATTTCTAATAAAAAACTGATTACTGACAAGCTGTCGTCACACTAGTCAAATAATTAATTACCTATTTAATACAATTACTAGCAGTAAAGCAGAAAGTAGGGTCGATCCCACAGAGAAGGTTACTAAGTACCGGTTAAAATTATTTCTTATTATTATTTAGATTAACAATTTATCAATTTAAACTAATCTAAACCTAAAACTATCAATTGTAATTATTTAAAGATATAAATAAGTAAAAGAAAAACCTAGGACAAAGGGTTCACTAACCGACTATTCAGTTTAATTTAATCTATAGATATGTGACTTTCGACTCTCATTAATCTCACGACAAATTCACTAATTTAAGAATTATACACTCTCGTGTCATAATCCTTTTACTTAAACTAACCCTATGACTACTCTCGTGAGTATAGGGATTAATAAAAGTACATTAAGAACTTTGAAATTACTAGTCGCAAAGGTGGTGTTCCTACTCTCGTGGCTCACTACCTAAGTTTATTATTCTTACAAGCTAATGCTAGCCTTCCACTCTCGCTACTTCAGCTAGCACCTTAAAGCATGCAAATATTGATCAGGTATTCACATGGATGAAAAACAAGAATAATAAATATTAATTAATAAAAAAGTCACAATCATAACTTAAATTAAATTAAATAGTACGGCGCCTACATCCAAAATCGTAGATTAAATAATTTAGCTAGACATCATCTCAAAAATAAATAAAACAATAAAACTCGGGAGAGAGAAGTCGCAAAATTGAGTCCGGAAATTGATCCAATGCTGCTCCTCTTGGCGATGATGGTACGTAAGTGATGAGGTGCTGGTCGGGTGGAGGTATGAGGGGGTTGGTGATGACGATAACGATGATGATTAAGGTGATGATGATGGGAGAGAGAGATGGAGGCTGTTGCGTGGTGATGGAGAAGAGGAAGTAAGGTGGAGGTCGGCGGAGGAGGAGTTTTGCAGCTTTGAGGGAGACGTGAATTTTCGGTCAAGTTCTGTCCCAAAAATAAAACCATAATCTTTCTTTTATAGGCTTTCGTCAAACCCTATTTCTTTAGGAATAAGAAAGTTATTTTTTTTTTTTCAATTTAGTCCAAAACCTCAACAATTTTCCCATTTGAGTACAAAACCTATAAATAAAGATAAAATCATATAAATAGCATATTTGTACTCAAAATATATTACAAAAATCACAAATTAGAGATATAATAAATAGGTAAAATATAAGCATATCAATTACATCAATTCCTACCAGCTAAAATATCCAAGTCCATGGCTGTACATGTGATTGAAAAAGTGCAGCAATAAATTAAACTCACACTATTCATATTACAATAAAAGATATTTATACTCCCATAAACCAGTAAATCCCAAATATCTCTTTTCACTTGCCTCGTAGCTCTTCCGGCATGCAGCAGCAACTTCCATTTAATTTCAAGCTTCAGAACATTAATCACTTTCTCAATAGTTGGAATTTTCCCCGGAATAAATTTTTGTAACCTTTTCAAAACTACTTAATCAACATTAGTAAAATATTTAAGCACCAACTAAAAAACCAAAACAATTTGGAAATATTCGCAATTTTTTTGCTTCAAATCAACTTCCTCAAGGCCCCAACAATCATCTCTTGCTCTTCTATAGTTCCAGATACAGAAGCAATTAACTTGTTTAAAATACCAATTTTGATAGTTTTGCACAAAACGGAAAACTTTTTTCCAGTAAACCTCGATTTGCTTCCAGACTGATACAAAAGTATAAACTGTTCAAGTGGTATCATTGTAGCAAAAGGCAATATATTCCATTCAGCAAAAATCACAAATGAAAATTAAAAAGCATGGAATGTACCAGACAAAATAAATATCTCTGGTCATTAAATATTTTTTTGTCATCTTTTCGTGCTGTACCTTTCTATATCCTGCAAGTTGAACCAACAACAAATGAAGAGTTGTTGTTTTTCTGAAACCAAATGTAGGCAGGTCATTATCCACATACATGATCATGCATATGAAAGGGGAAAAAAAATGAGAGGCCTTCTCGGCAAAGCAGCAGCTTGTTTAATTTCAAAATGCTATAGATTACCTTTTTCCTCTTCCCAATTCAAATGTATTCCTAAGTACCAAAAATAATTTATATAAAAAAAGAAAGAATGAAGAAAGCAATACCATAAAAATTGTCTCTCTAATCCCACCAATTATATTGTATGTTGTCATTTTTATTCCAATTATCCCTGATTGCAAAGCCTGAAAAAATAAGAAGAGAAAATTTGACTCTAATAATATAACTATATAATTAAGAAGAGAAAATTTAAGCGGTTAAGAGATTTCATTGGATAAGAGTCTAGGTCCGATAGTTTTCTCCTTTATCGGGAGGCGAATTTCGTGGTCGATTATTTAGCTTCTTTAGCAGTTTCGAGCTCGGTTGGTCTGCAAAGATTTGTGTCACTTTCGTTAGGTTCCCGGCCTTGGCTGCAACATGATGTATTAGGGGTGGCATACCCCCGGAATGTAAGAATTTAGGTTTTTGCCTTCTTTTTCGTACCAAAAAAAAAGAAATTTAAACAAAATCAATGAACCGAACAACAACTATATCAACAACATACCTATTATAATCCCAACAAAATCATTGAATCGATCTAAAAAATAATTAGTCATGGTTTCGCCCGGATTGTTATAGCCAAGATGACACTTAAAGGTCTTAAAAGACCTAGATTAAGTAATCAAACAACAAAACAAACTCAAAATTGAAAATCATCGATGATAACGAAACTTATGCAATTTTCCTCTGCGACTCTCTCTTCCTGCTTTAAGAAACTCCAAGAGGACTCCACCTCCTCGACCCAATCTCCCCAAAATGAATTTCTCTTCGTCATCTATCCTGGACTTTCACTTCCGAGGCTACAAATTATCAAAAAAAAAAAAAAAAATCAACCTAAATAAACACCTAAACTCACAAATAAATGTGGTTGTTCTGCTCTTCCTTCTTATTCATACTAAGCTTTCATCTTTGACAAACTGGAATCCAATTCTTATTCAGTACCCGCCATCAAAGATTCAAAATCGATGTACAAAAAATATAACAATTTAGTTAGATTGATTGTAAAGAAAAAAATTAAAACTAAATTTCTTAATCTTTGGATGACGTCTCACCGATTGATTCAAATTGAAAGAGAAACTTAGTGGGCAGTGAAACTGGTTTGAATGTATTTAAGGGGATGGAGAGATTAACTTGCCAGTGGTTGTTGTGAATTTGACCAGAGCAAAAATTGGAATTTTTGATGTTTGAGATTGAATTTTTTTAAAACATGGAGATTTCAGTTGAAGATTTGTGAGAGAGTAGAAAGATTAGGAAATAAATCCTTTTGAAATTTGATTTTACGGAGGAGATTATGAACGTGAAAAATGTTGTGCCGTGAAAGACGCAAATCCGAGATTTTAAGAGTAACTTGTGATCCTAAAAAAATGATTTTGTACTGAAAATGATTTTTGACAGAAAAATTTTTACTGTGAAGTTGAAATATGTCCTTCTTATTTGCTGCTTTAATTAAGTATTATAGATATCATTTTATAAAACTCCCAAGATAATTAAAGTAAGCTATCGTGTCAACATTCCGTCATGTTAAAATTGACATAGACCGGACTTGATGCTGTTGAGCTCCAATTTTCACTTGGTGGTCGACTTTCACAATCTGACGACAAGTTAGATGCTATTTAAAGTTTATTGAAAAATCTATTATGAGTTTTATAGTTTTTTCAGCTCCTTCTCCTCTTTATTGGTGCCCATGTTTTAAAAATGTTTCCCTATCGTAGTTATCTATAATTTAGCGAGAGAAATCGTAACCGATATTAAAAAACCAATAAATAAAGATGAGTGCAGAATATTTCTTTGTGCTACAAAATTGATTCCAGCTGATTAACTAAAGAACTAAAAAAAAATTTGTCACTCACAAAAGTTGGACGAACTGACCAGTTGGAAAAGAAGATTCCCACATGCAACTTTGATCATGCATGGTTAAAGCAACTTTTAGTTTTGCTTTGCGTTTATTTAAATATACTCCCTCCGTCCCATAATTATTGTCCAGTTTTACTAAAATGAAAGATTTTATTTTTAGTCAAACTTAACTATATTTTATCTTAAACAACCGGATATACCCCTACATAAGTAATTGTTTAACCACTAAGATTTTATGGATAATGTTTTTAATAAGGACAAATGTGTAACTTGATCCATTAAAAGTCAAATTGGACAATAATTTTGGGACAAAATTTTTTGGGCAAAATGGACAATAATTATGGGACGGAGGGAGTACAATATATTGATTTCAATCAAGATTCAGGTTGGTTTTCCTCTTCTTCTAATATCTCTAGGTTTAGCAGTAAACAAGATTCATACGAGATTAAGAAACTGGCTCCTGCCTGCAAAACATCAAATCCTCTGAGTCTAAGGTACGTACTCTTCTTTTCTTCCCCTATTGCAGCTTGTTACAGTAGAAAAAAGTGAACACTAAAACATCTAATTCCTGAATGAATCAGTCTCGTTTGAACCAAAGTTTACTGATTTCGGATTATGTTTTTGGCAAAAACGAGGTTCTGGGATGCCAACACTTATATGGTCAATTTGTAAGTTCAAATTATACTCAACAATACTGAAAGTCTAAAACCGGTTATAGTTAAGAACAAAGTATAAAACATATGTATATATGTATGCAGGAATGATGGATCAGGTCATCATGCTCAATCTAGATGAAGGAAAGGACAAAATTACTAATAATGATGATGTTTTTCATTCACCCCGGCGAATGCAATCACATCAATCAAGCTGCTACATGGGTAGCATTCAGGCAGAGGTGTTAGCACCATCAATAAAAGAGGAGTTATACTTACTTTCTGCGGGCAGGCATCTCAATTACGGTGGCACAATCTGTTTCCACAGAGTACCTGAAAAATATCGTGCCAAGAATAAAGATGCCTATGATCCTCGGTTGGTCTCGATAGGTTTTATTCATCATGGTGAAAGCCAGCTAAGAGGTATGGAAGAATACAAGTTCAAATACCTATACCATTTCTTACAAACTTTTCAAGTTAATCTTGATGAGTTGGCTTCGTATGTTCAAAGTCAGGAGAAATTTCTCTGTGACTGTTACGAAGATAATCCCCTGAATAATCCGGCAAAACAATCCAACCTACACCCATATGAAGTGATTCTATTAGATGGGATTTTCATTGTTGAACTTTTCTTGAAGAATCATTTTCCTGGAATGAGAGAGAAGGGGGATATCATATTCAATCAACCTTGGGTTTCAAAGGACATCAGACATGATCTGCTCCTCTTTGAAAACCAACTTCCTCTGCAGTTTCTAGCAACATTGTACAATACTTTTGTTGCCGGACAGGCTATAAAATGCTTAGATGATGATGCTACTTTTTATCCTCCGCCTTTCATTAAGTTAGCTCACCAGTACTTCAAGGATGTGGGGTTCAGGGGGAATCAATTGCTCATCACCCAAGATTTCCACAATGTAAGGGATTTTATTGAGTTCTTGTCCATTCTACATACGCCAAATGCACAGCAATTGGCAGAAATCAATGCTAGACGGGTGAAAACAACATTAGCAGCAATCAATGATAGGCAAGGAAGAAAGAAACTGGGTTTTGCTCGATGCCCAACAGCAACAGAGCTGAAAGCAGCCGGAGTCGAGTTCAGAAGTGGAAAAGGGAAAAATCTCTTGGATGTTGACTTTGACAGGAAAAGGGGAATATTAACCCTTCCATCACTGATAGTAAATGACTCTGCAGAAGCCTTTTTTCGAAGTCTGATAGCCTTCGAACAGTCTCCATATCATCCAAAATTCATAACAAGCTATGTTTGCCTATTGGACTACTTGATAGACACCGAGAAAGATGTTGATCTTCTAATAAAACATGGGATTATCATATCTGATCAGCTTCATAGCAGTAATAAAGTGGCAGACAGTTTTAATGATCTTTACAAAGAGCTTCTGACAAATCCAAAGGACTTCTATTTTGATCTGCAGTGTCATGAGCTCAGATGTTACACGAGAGATTTTTGGCATTTCCTCAATCTACAAGTAACTAGAGGTTGTACAATAGCACAACGAGATTATCTCAAGAATCCATTGGATGTCTTCAATATTATTCATGGTGTAATTTTCCTGCTTGGCCTTACTCTAGTCCAGACAGTTTGTTCAGTGCTTCAACTTAAGATGGCCAAAACTTAGTTCCACAATGAACAGCAGGGTCGCAGTATCAAGGGCAGGAATTACTGTTGCAAACCTCAAGCAATGTATATTGAGTCCATTATGCTAGATTAAGTTTGAGCTTTTTCCATTTAGAATTTTGCACAATTTTCATTTTACTCTTATACGTTCTTGATGTTCTCTCGTTACATTAAACCTTAGCACATTCACTAGAATGCAATTTGTGCAAATTTTTCTTGGAAAAAAACCACGGTCATATCTGTACTTCTGATTTGTGCAAATTACCTTATGATATGTATTTCTAATTTAAGTTTTTGCAGTTTCTGTTCTCCTAATTCATGTGGAACATAGGCTGGAGAAAAGTGATGTTTATGCTAAGTGATCCAACTCATTTGGAAGTAAGCTCAGTTATCCCTGCTAGATCCACCCATACGGGATGCTGTGACCACCTTAGCAGTTAAGACAACAGCACGGGAACCAATGAAATTGAAAACCCCATTTGGGCATGCAGTGGAGCTGGTGACGAAGGCCAATGTGAGGATAATGAACAAGAGTTTCACGTCAGTCACAGACATGGTGGTTACCTCCAGGGAAGCTACCTAAAAATCTCTTTGGCATCAATTTATTTGGTGTTAGACTTTATGAGAATTGGTTCTGAGGTGGCAGATGTCAGATAGGAATAACCAGTTTACGCTGGCCAGCATCAGTCGTAAACAAAGGCTTTCTTTTTAACTAAACACTCTCATGAATGCTGAAGTACAACACAGTGAGTTTCCAACAGTTTCTAGCAAGCTAAATGTAAATGCAAGCACATACTAAGTACAATTTGCCTTTCAAAACAGGAAATGGAAGAAAAAGATATGGGAGATAACCAGTTGGTAAATAGATTAGCAGCTTCCATTATCTTGTTCCTATCTATATTAAACTTCCATCATGCACCTTTGACTTTCTCACTTCATTTTAGTCCAGAAAACTTTCATGTATGTAAATTTCAGAGTCATTTAGTCACGAATAGTTGCTACAGAAGTTATCGCTATCTAAGAAGTAATCAAACGGTAACTTCTGGTTTAAAACAAACAAGAAGAGGATCGTGATATAATTACTGGCGCTAAACGAAAATAGCATGCCCAGTACGTGCGTGAACAGAATCTATGATGTTTTATTACCACCTCCAATTAATAACAACATGAATCTAGCAAAGTTTACACATGTAGCAAAACACCAGTAGGAGTCATTTACAATCAACAACAATAATAGAAAATGAGTTGACACATGATGGACTTAGGAAATGAAATCCTCAGGTAATTCTAACAAGCCTCAAAGATGCTGGTCTCAGATGATGCTACAAGGTTTGGAGATAAGATCCTCTGCCAAAGGAAAACTTAGCAGAACAAACTTGCCGACTTATTTAGCTCTTGATTTGATACCACAACAAGTTACTGCACCAAACCTACAGTTTTATCACAAAAAAAAAAAAAAAACCATATTACAACCTCAGACTAATCTCATACAGCATATTACCAATTTTCATACCACATAACAGAAAAAGATGAAGATTTTTCATTTTCTAACAAATCCTCACGAAAACCACATACTCCGAGCTGTTCCCAAGTTTCTTTCGATCGAACGATAGACACACCCATCAATAGAAGGTATAAAGACGCCATGAATTGTCATGATATTTCAAGTACAATGTGATTTCCAATAACTTCATGATCAGTCATAATCACAACGAGAGGCAAAATGGCAACACTTCAAATTTCTCACCAAACTACCCCTCCCATTCTCCCTCTTTTCTTTTATTAACAAACAGAAAAGGGCCATTCTGTCACCGACTTGTCAAGTGACCATTATATATTGAATTTGCAAGAAAACTGTAAACAAATTAGGTTTCAAACACGAATTTTGGTTTGAAAATACACTTCGTTGCCATACCAAAACCTAAACAATATCTGTATTTTTCCAAATAGAAAAAGATCATGTAACAGAGAAAAGGCTTTCCCAAATCTACAAACAACAACAACATACCCACTATATTCCCAACATTAAAGTTGCTCCATGTCTATGTCCACTCCACCAAAACCTATGGCTTTCCCAAATCTACTCACAAAGAAAAGATAGCATCACCAAACATCAGCTAAGTGCTACTGCATCAAATCTCATAACTAGAAAAGAACCAACTGAAAGTTGCATTCATATATTGTATATCCACTCCACAAGATAAGAGACCAACTTCCTGATATTATAAAAAACTTGGGATCCCCTCCCACTTCCAACCACCCCCCTCCCCCAACACAAACAGAGAAACCCCATGCAATCAGTAATCAAACAAATTGCAAAAAAAAAAAAAAAAAAACTTACAGTATCAAAGACATCCTATAAAATTCAAAGCTCAATTCCATGCTGATTTTGACTTAAGGGTTGCAAAGAGATACACAATAGACTGCCTTTTCATAACTTTGAGCTGCAAGCAGAGATTAAGGACGGGTCATATGTGCTTTTATTATGCCTAAATGCGCCATTGTTTCGTCTACTCGCAGATGTTGTACTAGGAAAACCCAGATGCCGTCTTTGACAGCAACTGTAAAGGTAAAAGTATTTCTCAGGTTACTAGGACACTTTCTAACTGATATGATGTGGTAAGATGAAAATAAGGTTTAGTTCAGCCAAGAGTAAGCTTATTCAAACCAAACTAGAGATGAATTCAACCTATAGCTCTAACCGATCTGATTACTGATTTGTATTCAACATCTACCAAATGATAGACATTTTTCACTTCTTTAACAAAAACTCCCCACTTACTCTGAGGAACTCCCAAGTTTCTAGCTGCTACTCAAATGCGGCCCTCATTAGTGAGTCATCAAGAAGGTCCAAACAAGGCCTCAAATTAATCATTGAAATATCTGGTACTGGGAAAGTTCAGTCCTAAAACTCCTAATCAAACTAGAGACGAAAGCAAACACCTATAGGCCACGGTCACGTTTCCTTTCTCACTCCACGCGCAAAAATCCCCTGTAACTGATTTATTTAGATTTCCAAAGAGTTCAAAGTTCAAACATACACACACACACACACGAAAAAAAAAAAAAAAGGAGAAGAAAACAACAATAAAATTTCCACCCAAGAACTGAACAAGATACCAACTTTCCAGAATTATCAAACACTTGAAGTAGAAATCCATATCACCGAAACCCCAAACAACAAAAACCCAATAGAAAAAAAAGGAAACGAAAACCACTTACAGGCTTTGGAAAAAGCATAAGAACTTCAGAGCCTAATTTCCATGACATTTTTCACTTTAGGGGCGTAAAGGGAATACACAATAGCCTGTCTTTTCGCAACTTCGAGCTGGGATTTCCCGTCTTGAAAGGCGGCGGAGACTGAAGAAGGGTCAGAAACATCCTTATTCTGCCTAAAAGCATCGATTGTTCGGCGCTTAGTGTACTCCCTGATGTTGTAGTCGGAAAACCCGCGAGCCGTCTTCAAAATTGACCGGAAAAGTGAAAGTATTTCGCTTCTTGAAGGCGCCGCCGCCATTGTACGGTTGCTCTTCGGAGGGAGAACTTGGAAGAAAGATTGGGCCTTTTTTGCAGAATAACTTCGGTGAAGCCTTTTTCTATTTTGTATTTTTAATTTTGAGAAAATAAAGGTTCATAAAAGGCGTTAGACGTGGAAGGTCAATATCCACGCTTTTTAAAGTCATAGACTCAGTTGTTGATTACAAGTAGTCCTCAAAACCGCTTTTACTCCGACTGCTGCTCCATTCCCACCACTGTCTCCGTCACCGGTCACTGTCTTTAACCCACCACCAGCCGCTGCCTCCGGCCGTCAGCTATAAAGGTACAATCTTTAGACTATCCTTGATTCCAAATGATGGTGGGATAAATGATTACTTGCTGATTTGATATGAGTTATTTGAAGAAAGAAAATGAATCATTGTTTGAACAGATATTTTACTTGATTAAAGCCTCATATAGTTGGATAAATTTTTAATATTTTGTTTATTTGCTAGAATTAATCACACTTTTTTTTGTTTTTTTTGAATAATTTGCCATATAGTTTAGTGAAAAATCAGTTGTGATACAGTCTTAAAAATCATTTCTGTCATGTTTTCTTTGTGGGTTAGTGCCTTAAATTTAGTGTTTATTAACATGTAGTGATGGAAAGGTATCACAAAAGGAAGAGTATGAGTGAACAGTCTCCTAACATTGGAGAAGTTGAGAGTGACAGTAGAAGGGATTGTTCAAAAAAGAATAGGGAGGATATTTGTTTAGAAGATTTGCCGGTCGATCCAGGGCTGAGGAAAAAAATTTCTGATTATCACCCTAATGTCCGTGATCAGGTTCGAATAGCATATTTACTGAGAGGACCTTGTCAACCTCGTGATCATAACTTTCCAAAAAGAAAGATTGGGGACTCTTGCCGTCGATTTGTTCCAGATTGGTTCGATGAATTCAAACCTTGGTTGGAGTATAGTGTCGAAAAGGACGCTGCTTTTTGTTTATATTGTTATCTATGGAGACCAGAAGCTTATAACACACTTAATGGTGATGCTTTTGCTGTTGAGGGATTTTCGAATTGGAAAAAGAAAGAGAGATTTCGTAGTCACGTGGGTTCCGTGAATAGTGCTCATGATCTAGCTAGACAAAAATGTCAGGGTTTGTTGAATCGAAATCAGCATGTTGATGTTGCCTTCTTCAAGCATTCTGATCACACGTGGTTGGAGTATCGGACTTTTCTTTCAGTTTTGGTGGATTGTACTAGATTCCTTTTGTATCAAGGATCTATTTTCCGTAGCCAAGATGAACCAGACAATTCTGGTAATGAAGACATTCTTGAACAGATACATTTTCTTGCTTATTACAGTGAAGACATAAGGAAAATCTTTTCAGACAATGTCCTTGGAACTCTTAGGCTCAAGTCCCTCGATATAAAGAAGGATATAATACATGCTTTGGCAGTTGAAACTGCAAATGTAATAGTTGATGATGTTCCTAACAGACTCTTTGCTCTTTTGGTATACGAGACTCATGATGTCGTAGGGAAAGAACAAATGTCAATTGTTTTGCGCTTTGTTGATTTACAAGGACGTGCCATTGAGCGTTTCCTTGGTATTATTCATTTGAGTGAAACTAGTGCTTGCACTCTTAAAATGGCGATTGATGCATTACTTTCTAAGTATGGTTTGAGCATTTCATGTATTCGTGGTCAAAGTTATGATGGAGCTGGTGGCGTAGCTGATTACAGTGGGCTAAAGGATTTGATTATGATTGAAAGTAGTTCCGCTCATCCCATGCACTGTTTTGCCCACCACCTTCAATCTACTCTTGTGACTGCAGCGAAGAAGAAAGTGCAAGTTTCATCCATGTATGGAACCTTGTTGATGTTGATAAATGTTGTTAAAAGTTCATCTAAGAGCAAGGAAATTTTAAGAGCTGATCAACTTCAACACATAGTTGATGATATATTGAACTATGCTCTTCTGATTGACCAAGAATTTAATAAAGGGTCTACCCTTTGTAGAAATAGTGATACCCCCACGGGTTCACATTTTTCCTCATTGTTGAGATTAATTTCGATGTTTGGTGCTGTGATTGATGTTCTTGAAATAATTGAAGCTGGTGGTGCTCTAGAGCAAAGGGACCAGGCGTATTCTGTTCTCATTTCTTTGCGATCATTTGAATTTGGATTTCTGTTGCATTTGATGAAGAAGATTACGGGAATCACAAACACTTTATGTGAAACACTTAAAAGCAAAGATCAAGATTTAGTGAATGCCTTGGCCTTGGCAAAAATTTCCAGAAAAGAATTACTGGCTGCTAGAGATGAGGGGTGGGATTCTTTACTTGATGAAGTTCATTCTTTTTGCCTGAAGCACGAGATCACCATTCCTACTATGAATGAGAAATTTGTTCATTCTCGTAGTTCAAGGAGAAACGGTGATGATATCACAAATCTTCATTATTATCGAGACGATTTGTTCTTCTCTATCTTAGATATGCAAATTGAAGAACTTAACTCCCGGTTCGATGAGGTAACTTCAGAATTGCTTCTTTGTCTGGCTTGCTTAAATCCGGTGGATTCTTTTGCAGCATATGACAAGCAGAAGTTGATTCACCTTGCTGAATTCTATCCTAGTGAGTTTTCTGAAGAGGAGCTTCTCAAACTAAGTAGTGAACTTGATTTGTACATCGCGGATATGAGATCTGATTGTAGATTTTCCAAATTGAATAGCATCACTGATCTTGCTCAAAAGATGGTGGAAACACACAAGGATGCTGAATTTCCATTGGTGAATATGCTGTTGAAACTATGTTTGATTCTTCCTGTTGCTTCACCCAGTGTGGAAAGAGCAAATTCAGCTATGAAGATCGTGGAAGGTCAGCTACGCAATCAAGTGGGCGATGCTTGGATGAATGATTGCTTGGTTACATATATTGAGAAGGATTTATCTCAAAAAATTCAGATTGAGAAAGTTATGGAACAGTGTCAAAGTATGAGAAGATCAAACTGTGATTGAGCTTAAGGCTGGATTTTAGGATAATAAGTGGCTAGCTGAACAGAATGGTAAAATTTCCATTCCATCAAGATATCAGTGGTTGAATGGTAGTTTTCAGAAAAAGGGTGAAACTGGTGTTATATGGTGTTGTTCCAATGTACCTTGGTATTGTTTTATAAGTTGCCTTTGTTGGAATGGCAGCTTGATGACTAAGGATGGGATGGCTCAATCGCATATTCCTGTTGAATTCAGAACTGTGTGTTGTGTTCAGACTATGTTGATACTCGTGAACAATCAGTCCTTTGCTGCAGAGATGGAAGAGGTTACTCTTTATCTGGAAAAGAAATAATGCAAAGTCTGCATTTACTACAGGTATGTGTCATCTTTGGCCAGCAATGAGCATGGCTACGTTAGAAGTTGAGGTTATGACTGTAGATGGTGGCAGAAAAATGAAATTTTAGTCTAGTTTGGTTTTGGTTTTCACTGTATAGCTCGTGTGGATCAGTTTTGTGGTTATGTATATTTTCAGATTTGTTGATGCAATATGGAGTAGTATTTACCATTTATATGTTTTTTTTTTTTAAAAAAAAAAAAGCACCTTATTTTGACACATTTTGTTGCTTGAAATCTGTGCTTATTAATCTTTTATCTCTATATAAGATTTGATAGTTTTATGATAAAGCTTACTCCCTCCAGAATTAATTTATTGCTTTACCCCTGGTTTGGCTTTTAATGATTCTAGTTGGTGCTGGATACGTTGTTATATGTTTATACGTTCTTTATAGTCAGTGAAAGCTGAAATCATTTACTGTTGATATGTGTAGGAGAAAGTTCACTCTCTGATCAAGAGATAAAAATCTGTAGAATATCTGAAGTAACGGTCGGAAATATACCTCCAGCTTTCCTCTCATCCCTCAGAATTACATTACAGGAAGAATGGGTTAAAAAATTAAAAAACAATGGTGAAAATGAAAGGAAAAGAGAAAAGAGAGTGTCCTTGATTAGATCAATGAATGATTTTCTGCTGTTGTACTATAAGAACAGAAGCTCTGCGTCTGAGATCGCTTGTTGCGAGCAAATCGCCAATGATTCCGAGCTCAGGAACTTCACACCATTCCTCAAATCCTACTGTCAATACAGACTCTACTTTGTATCTTCTTCCCACTAATATCAGGTCAAATTGGTCAGCCATGGATCGGACTAACCATGCCAGTTCCGGGGGATCATTCACTATTTTCTCAATGTAGGTAACATTGCCTTGACCAATTCTGTTTTGCTTAAAATCATACAACACCTTTATGTCAGACACATCATCCTCCATATTTGCACCATCAATTCCCTTGGGGACGCATCTTATAATTGTAAGGTTTATGTTTCCGTTTCTGGTCATGCGTTTGGCAAGTGTCAAAGCTTCTTGATCATCCCTTCCGCCAAGAAAGATCATAGCAACATGATATGTTTTCGCTGAAGATGTCATCGAGTTGGAACGCCCTAGATGACCTCTGTCTATGAGAACCCCCACAGAGCAAGGTGCTCGGTCAAGCACATTGCGGTTCAGAGTCCTCAAACTCATGTCTTCAGATTCGACTGATCCATCAATACCCCATCTCCTGTGGAAAGGTACTATAATTATTGAAGCCAAAACATCCAATGCTAGGGTGCATATATCCTCTTGCATCAGCTTTCGCGGCGAGATTGCTGTGAAAGCTTGAGCTGTCACAGCTCCCCAGTTGTTTCTTTCAAACTGCTTAAATGAAAGAATGACATCTTCCGAGTACGAGCTGCTGCTGTCGCTTTTGCCCTGAGCTTTATGAGATATAAAGATAGGCGTGGCTCGGCCACGAAGCTCAATTAAATGAAGGGCATTGACAGTAATGGGACTTTCTGTTGTCGGAGTGCAGGCATCAAGTAGCCTCATGGTGGCCATAATGTTGTCCGAGGAATGGATACACGCAAGTATTGGTAGCTTGCCACCAAGTCGGGAATACATGATGCTTCTCTTCTGATAGCCAGCGTATTTCTTGGTAGGATCATAAAGTAACTGAACCATAAACGGCACAAAAGTTCCTATTGCTGCTGTTGCCAACACCAACAAAGCAAAGATAGGCTGATTGATGAACTGTTGAATACAATGGAAAAGGAAAACTCATCAGTACGTGCATTCAGGCTGACAAGAGGTAAAGAATTGATAACATACATGACTAAGCTTCTAGATATACATTGCCTTTTACTGTAATCTAACAACAGATCATGTAGGCAAAGCTTTTTTTTTAATTTTATAATATCACGACTGTTTTTTTTTTTTTTTGAAAATAAATATCACGACTGTTGTTTTCAGCTATCTTACTTGTTCACCCGATGAAAAGTGACAGAGAAATAAACTTACCCCTAAATCCCTCACGAAGCTGTAGGTTGCTAAATCCACAACTCCTTTTGTGCTCAATATCAGACCGAGTGCTAGTGCATCTCTTACAGGCATCTTGCAATACCATGCACAGAGGAATGTTGCTGCAATCTTTGTTACGAAAGCGATCAGGATGAGTAGGACACTAAAAGTGTCAATGTTACCGCTGATATCTGAAATGTTGGTTCTGAGGGTTACAACAGTGATGAAAGTAGGCAAAAGAACACCTGAAGAAAAGGCTTCAAGCTTATCAACCAGGGCAGATCCTAATGGTGGTCCTTCAGGTACAGCTAATCCGATAAGAAATGGACCAACTAGCATATTTATATCCACAAAGAGAGAGAATATAGCAGATGCAATAACAGCAAAGATAACTAGGTAGATGTACAGATCTTGTACTGGCCTCCCTTCGGGCGTCTGTTTGACCATCCATACTAAAGCTGGCCGGATGGCGAAAAAAATAAAAAGTACAAAGCAAGTGCATAGGGTAACATCAGAAAAGATGTCACGGCCTTTGTACACTATTCCATTGTATATAGTGTTGATCGATGTCAACAACGCTTGCAGCAAGTGACTAATTAGGCCAGAAGACAGAGCTAATCGGCCGAGCTCTGAATTCAGGATTTTGAGATCCTTAAGGAGGAAAGCCACAACTGGAAATGCAGTCATGGAATGAGCTACGAAAACAGCACGGCGGTTATCCTTCATCTTCTTAGCTGAGTAAGAAGGTTTTCCGGAGGAAACACCCACTATGAGTGGGTCAAGAAGCACACCAAATAGTATGGGTGCAGCTATGTTAATGACCCCAATTGCCAACGCTTTTGGTCCAGTCTTCCTAATCATCCCAGTGTCCATTTTCACTCCACTTAGAAACTGGAAAAACAAGTACCCGAACGATGCAAATGAACCAAGAATCCCTTGGCCTGAAGCCGGGAACAAGAACTTCTGATATTCTAGTCTCTCCCCCAGTAATGTGGATCCAAGGATTATGCCAGCCTGAAAATCGTTATATACATACATCATGTTTCACCCTTCAGTTTTCCACAATCATACTACAATTCAATGATCTCCCTAATGTACATTTCTTATCAATCCTTGATGATTTGCCTTATTACATTTTTATTGATCAGAACTGTGCTTGATTCCACAGGTTCTTTAGACAATTTTATCAGCATGAAACACCCAATACAGAACCATTTGTAAATATCAAATCACAAAACAAATTAAACCTTCTAAACCACCTGTCAAGAACCCTGCAGAACCCCAAAAGGGGGGGAATTCATAAATGTGTTCATCAGGAAAAATCATTTGTCACTTTATGATACAAAAACTCCTCCAAGACACAATAAGATTGAGGCGAAAACGCAGACATGCATTGTTTAAAAAAAAAAAAGCAAAAATGTTAACAAAAAAAAAAACATGAAGGAATTAGGGAAAGGATCACTTACAGCTATTTCAGAAACCAGCTTGGGGAAACCAATGCGCTTGAGGGGAAAATGGCAGAGATGAGTGAGGACAAAAATAACAACCATTTGAAACTCCAATGTTGGCAATGAATATATGAAGGGATTCCTTGAGCTCATGTGCTTAAGATTTTGGGAAAAATACCCCAATGAATTCACCTTCGGAGGATCCCTCACACATTGAAGGATTGTAAGTATTGTTACATTGTTATTGTTGTTGTAAATCCCATTAGTGGCCATTTTTGTTTTGTTATTCTTGTTTTTCTTCCGGTTGGGGGAAGAAGATGGGAGGGATGGGTGGGGAATAAAAGAGAGAGGTTTATACCTCAGCTCTTGATCCTGCAAATGGGATTTTTGCAGGGAAAAAGAAAAATATACAAATGAAACAAACCTTAAAATTAGAGCTGTTAACGTTTGACAACTTTTTGAACCTGTTTTTATTGGCAACTGCCAAACTGTCATAACCTTCTCACCGTGCAAAATGAATCAAACAACTCTATTTTCTTGTACCCATTCATCCCAAAAAAAAAAAAAAAAAAAAAAGGTTCAAAAGTGTTTTTCTGTTGAAAACAATAAATAAAGTAATTTACTTTTCATAAATAAATTAATTTGAGCCGCATGATAAATATGCATATCTAATTTACTTTCTGAAACATACGTCTAACAAAAGTTCTATGATATAACATCAAAAAATAAATAAATAAATAGGGAATTTCCTAATCATTTGGTGCATGAAAATAGTAGAAGTCCTTCAATTTATTTCCAGTATTTATACCTCTTCTTTTCATCTCCTTGAGAATGAATTTAGCCTCCTCTAACTTTTCCAACCTAATCAAACGGGTGGCCAAAACCCCGAAATTTTCAGAGTCCAACTCCTTGTCTTTGCCAGCAAAACTCATCACGAAGTCCATTGCTTGTGAACAATAGCCATTCCTCACCATTGCATTGATCACGTGAGTATGCGTTGAATACAGTGGTGATGTACCTTCATCCACCATCCTTCTCAACAGCATCAAGGCACCGTCGATCTTCCCAGCTCTACAAGCACCCAACACGAGTGCATCGTATGTTCGGGTATCTGCCCCTAACTTCCCTTCCTCCATTTTAGTCAGGACATAAGCCGCTGAGGTGATATTACCACTATGACAATAAGCCGTTAGCAGATAATTATAAGCAGTCAGATCAGGTGCAATTTTGTACTCTTTCATTACTTCCAATATACGCCAAGCTTTGTCCATTTCTTTTTTCTTTGTAAGACAAATCAGTATGGGATGAAATGTACACGCATTTGGACCATAGTTATTCCGGACCATCACCTCTGCCACATGTAGCGCTTCAGGTATGCGATGCAACTTAGACAGTCGCATAATGAGGGAGTCATGTGAACTCTTTTTGAGGAATCCATTGTTGAGACCAGCAAGGCTATGCAGAAGATCATCTAGTGCAGTAAGGTCAGAGGAGATGAACTTGAAAGTCTTGCTAGTGTTGAAGCCACCATCACGGAACCGCTTCATGAGGAGGATTCGCACAGCTCCAAAGTCTCCGGCACGTCCTGCCTCATTTATCAGTTGGTCATAGTGAGCTGAGCTGGGTGGGTCTGGGATTGAGATTTGGGTGCTAACATAGCATGTACTACTGTAAATATTGGGAGTAAACCTCAACATATTCAGGTGGGGTTTCAGAAGAGCTCTCATATTTTATGTATTATCAAGCTTGCTTCGTACTAGAACTTGAACAGTGAAGCTCTGAGAAACCTGCAAAAAAGGGGAGAATACTTTTATATCCAACAGGCAGCGATTAAACCTGACTATTGACTAGAAAGAGAACAACTTAAGAAACAGTTTTCTCTATAGCACATCGAACATAACAATAGAGTATAATTCAAAGAATGAATGAATGAACCAAATTAAACACTACAACACTGCTGGGTAGAAATTGACACATCTTCAAACAACTTGCAGCCATATCATGCTTGCTACCATAACTAGCTACTTTAACAACTTCTTCAAAGGTGAGAAAAGTATTACATCAAAGGCACTTCAACACAATACATCACATAGAGAGGAAGAAAGCGCTACATGATTTTGAAATTATAGTGCTACAAAAATTGACAAAAATTCTGGGCAAAACGTCTACTCATGAAAAGGAACAACTTCCAAGATGGAAGGCATCTTTATAATGCTAAACCATCCTAAAGCTAACACATTAGAACTAGAAAGTATAAAGTAAACAGAACAGAACAAACGAATTAGCTCTTCAACGTTGAACACCAGTTCCACAGGTAGCTACAACAGCATTGGAAATCTACCAACCTTATTGTCAGCAGTCACAAATATCCTGAAGTTGTTAATGCACAAGTTCCTAACTTCAACCTATATATGCTTCATTGACCTTCAGGAAATCCCCAGACACTAAATATCATATCATAATTACACGGTCATTGTATTTAAATATAAACTGGAACAGAGGATGCGAAAGCAAACACAAAATCCCGTATGATTAGAAAAAGGCTACACAAAAATTCAAGCTTACAAGCAAACCCAATGTTCTCCTACACATAGAAGTCAAATTATAAATCTAAAAAGGAAAAGAAAAGAAGGGGGAAAAAGAACGAAAAAAAAAACAAGAATTACCTCTGGGCAGGGCGTTGAGGTAGGACTGCAACTGGAAATGCAGAACTGCAAGACAAAATTGAAATTCAAGTGATCACAAAAGGATAATCAGGATACGAGTAGTTAACTTTGACAATAGGAATTCAATAGTTAGAAAGGAGGTTGTTATGTTAGAACATTTGTCTATTTTTCTGCTTAAAATTCTTTATCAAGTAGCTTCATGCAAGACACGAGGTAGGCAGGACAATACACGTGTACAGGGTGAAATTCAGAGGATTAAACATAGTGATTTGACGGTTAGGGTTAATTTCAGTACCTTAATGGTTGGGAGTTTGATTTGTTAAACCATCTAAGACAATATTTAAATGAAATTGAGAGAAAGACCAAATTGATACCATGAAAAAAACAACATGCATTCTTAAGACAAAGATTTCTGACAAAATGCAATACCTAAGTGATCTTATTCCTCATCCACGATCCCAAAGCCGTGATCTCGGTAATGCACAAATACCTCAAACCATAAATTTATACCAGCTCAACTCAAACCCCGCCACTGAGAACATCATCTAATGGTAGATAAAGATTGTTATTATCATGCAAACACAATATTTTAGCACAGATACCAAGGCGGATAAAATTACAGTGTCCACGCAAAAACATTGGAGGATTGTTGTCTGGAAGCTTTCCAACTGAATATCGATCAAACTTTCTTGTGTGATGATCATAAGAATATACAGGTTTGGAGTAGTCTTGATACTTCTCCCTCGTATTCATCAGCAAGATTTCACCAGTAGGTAGGTTCCCCACATTGCAAATCCAATAATTTACTGGGCCAAGTTCTTCAGGAAATTGTACAAAATGCTTAGACCATGTGTTAGACTCGCAATTTTCAAACACAAAGAGTACAAAATATCTAGAATCATCTGCATCAGGAATAACCCAGATAGCTGGACGTCCCATGGATTGAGTCGAAAAGACATCAGATCGAAAAGCACCTCTAACATCCTCTGGAAGCTGAACCCATTTGAACTTCTCATTGCTGAGATCAAAAGAGATCAAGTATTCTCGCTTTGTTAACCACCATAGGAATCCATCACCCGATTGTAGACCGTCTCTTAAGGAAGAAACATCTGCGGCCACAAAATCACTAATACCACATGTATCAGTATCCAACTTCCTCCATATAGATAACATATTGGAGGGTCTCAAGGTCATAATCTCAGCTTGCAACTGATTAGTATACACAAACCTCAACAATTTGTACATCTTGCTTGTGGCATCGTACCCAAGATGAAAACTCTTCAGTCTATCAAAATAACTATGAAGTGTGGGGTCAGGAACTCTCATCCCCTGCCCGGTAGAAACATTGTAAATAGTGCAGCGAAAACTTAGTCCGGAATCGGGTTCATAGACACAGACTATGCCATTTATTACTTCGGTGGTCAGTTCGGCCCAGACATTATAACTTTCCAGTTTCCTTGATCGGCTTAGTTGACTGAATCCTTCTGTGGACACCTTAGACTGCCGATGAAGAGTTGAGCAAAAGTAATTGAGGCGTAAACCGCCACCATCTCCACCATCGGTTGCCCAATACATTATTAGGGTTCGGTTCACGACTCCGGTAAACGTCCATAAACGGACGACTTCTGATTATTGGCAACCAAGACTTACACACACACACTAGCAAAGTCCCAATGACTTACCGGGAAGCCTGGTCAAAATTTCCAACAACAACTCGTCTGGTAGCGTCATCATCATCATCGCCGGGATTTTTCCCTAATCTATTAGTATAACATCTAGAAATGAAAATATCGCCGGAAAATTTGCTCCGATTATTATCTAAAGGTGGGGTTCTCTACAACTTTTCTCCGCCAAAAATAGTTTCCAAATCCAAATCACTTCAACTATGTGTCACTATCAAAAGGTTTAAAATGAAAATGGAGAAAGCAGAGAAGGGAGTGTGAAGATTGTACCTTTGAGAGGTTGTAGTCGCCGTCGTCGAATGGCCGGAGGCGGTTGTAAGGAGAAACAGCCAGCGATAGCCGAGAGAGACCTGTTAATTTTAATTTTAATTTTATCTCAGCCCAAAAAGAAAAAAAAAAGAAGAAAATATTATCTCAGCCCAAAGAGCAGAATTCTAACTTTAAGAAGCCCAAATTTTAAATATCATAGAGCCCAACTAGTTTGATGCGTGATTTGTGGCATCCACTAGATAAAACGGGATTCAGTTCTAGGAAAATTGACCGCGGATTGGCCGGAATCAACTCTTCAGTAAAGAGTTTGTTTTGTAAATTAAGTTTCGGGTTCCTCATTATATATAAAAAAATTAAAAATTAAAAAAAACGGGCATTAAAATCCGAATTTTGTATATTGTAATTGATTTTTTTAATTACACTGAGGAGTGAGAAGGCGAAAAAACCTACAATTTAAATTAAAATCCGAATTTCGCCACTGCATTTCGCCGAATAATTCATTTTAGTCCGCTACATAAGAACATAATCTTTTTAACTTATATATTTATTTTTCATCTTTCTAGTCTTTTTTTCTTTTCTTTTTTTTAAAAAATAAAAAATTTAAAAAAAAAATTGTGTCAGCTACTTTGTGCATTCTGTTATATTGCACGAATTGAGCTAAACTTGGAGTTGTGGAAGCAAGTGGCAGAAAATCTAGAATCGGACCTAGCGAATGAAGGCTGTAGCAATGTAATAGAGGTAAGTTGGGAGTAATTTGACCAGATCATTTAAAGGCGTGCTTTCTTTATTTTGGGGAGCGCATTCTGTAGAGGTACACAAATTCTTGCCGAGAAAGAAAAAGCACGACAACACGATTTCCAACATGACAACACGATTTACAAAGACAACCGACACGACACGACACGATTGATACGATTTGAGTTTTTATTATATTTTTACTCCAAAAAATCTTATGAACCCAGTGGAATAGGTGTCACGGGCTTACTTTTTCAAAGTAACGGCCGTGCGGCACTAGCACAAAACAACTAACGATCAAGTGCTAGCTCAGCCTTAAGACCCCCAAAGCGTGCAAAGCTAGGCAAGACTTTAAAGAACGGAGGCAAAGAAAAACTTAAGAAAGGTTGAAAGTGAAAGAATGATAAAGGCACAAGAGAGCTTAAGGAATGCTTGAGAACTCTACTCAAAGCTTGGATGGTTACAAATGGAGGGGGCATGGGGTATTTATAGGCAAACCCCCCCAAGTCCTAAAGAATTCTAGAGAATTCTATGTACATAATAAAATAATGGGATTCTAGAGAATTCCTACAATAAAATATTCTAAGTTCAAAATATCTACAAGTCTCTAGAATCTTCCACACGGTTCTAGCAAACTCGGGTAGCTTCCATACGGTTCCACTCGTTTCTAGCGAGTTCCGGGCCTCTCTAGAAAATTCCAGAGTCTTCAAGATTTGACCGGAAAATTCCACAAGGCTCTAGACCGTTCCGTCCCATGTCCGTCTACGAAAATAGCCCGTTTCGCATCAAACCACCCGAATTCATGGTGAAGAAAAACTGTCCGTGACATAGGTAACACGAAATTGACCCGATAACTAGAATTGACACCCCTACGAGAAACTGAAGCTCCTTTACATTGGAAACGACGATGTAGAGTTTGCTCCTATCCATGTTCGATCTCTTGACTATGACCTATATTCTCTTGCATTATTGAGAGCTTGAAAGTTCTTAACAGTGTTGAATTTGGAGGGAACAATGCCTGACATCGTATGGAATTCCTGAAGTGATATTTTTGTCCCCGTTCGTTTTGGCAGCGCGAGGTCTACTACATCAATGTTTTGATTTTAAAAGAAGGGCCCCGGCGTTAAGCCTGTCCTGAAAGCTGGTTTCATGATTTCATCATGTTCCCCAGCCAAAAGAAATGAAATGTTCTTTCCAGTTTCATGGTTCTCTCTCTATATCAATTTTGTTACATTGAGTTACTGACTCTACATCTAACTAGGATGCTGGTGGATAGGGCTTATCTGAGCTAAAGTCTACAAACAAAATTGTACCCTAGTTAAGAATTTCAAAACTACAATATAACCAGATAAAAGAACTTTCCCAAACAGAGAAATACAAAGGAGTTGGACCCATATAATTATTACCTTAGAACTTCATCAGCAAGCAGCAATCAGAAACATATTTGCCTTCATGGTAACATCAAAGTTTTAACATTGAATTGTGACAGAACAACCATGTGTGTTCTGTCAAACTTACTCACACAATTCAGCAAGGTAGACTCCCAAATCAGTAGAGAAAAAGAATCACAAACACTAGCAAATGAGGACCGTCAAAAATGATTAGTACGTGGAACTTTTACTCATGGGAAAAAAATTAATCAAACAATAGGATATAAACTTCAGCTGTAAGAAATGAATGCAAACATATTCAACAACTAAAAAAGATAAAATAAAATTGAGTTCTCATTCTCATATTAGATGAACAGATTCATCATTCTTCGTACAAACAAATATTACATCCACCAAGAACCATCCCAACTGTTCCGCCCTTATGACAATATACAGGACAACCGATATCAACATAATTTCACTATTCTAAGTTTTCCTGCAAGCTTAATGTAGATAGAAATCATTCCTACGTTAAATTCCTAATCTAGCCTAATCCATCCTGAAGGCTAGTAAGTAGTAAATCAAACTTACATATACTTCAAGAAATGAGCTCCTCCTGCATTGGACAGCCAACCTCCGAGATATATACAAGAAATCTCTAAGGAATAAAGTGCCCTAGTGGTGCGCATACTTGATGAGCTAGGAGAATGTACAACTCTCATAGCCAAGCAAAGAAAGTTTCCATTTAGAGGAACTAAGAAAATGTAGCAATTTAACCACTTGATATATTGTTTCAGAAATTCCCACAGCTCAGACTAACCATTGCAATTTTCAGTTTCTCCTCTGCTAAAGACTAAAAACGATGGCAGAATGATGTTTGTCCATCCGGACTCTAAAAGCTAGATTTAAGAGGAGACTGCAATTATGCAGGGCCTTATCATCTTAAGATGTACAGATCGAGAAAATAGAAGGTATGTACTTTAGAATATATCTTGGGTAACACTACAAAAGCAACCAAGACATGCAATGTAAGTAGTAAAAATGGTAGCTTGCTATAGGAATTGTAGCAACTAAGCAACAAAGAACGACAGAAACAGCAAGGAAAATTCTTCACCCACAGTAGCAAGAGAAGCAAAGAAAACTGGAGTTTCCTCCTGAATATACAGCCAATCAACAAAAGAACAGAGAACAAGACTACAGGTTCAAATAAAGGTGCAACCAAACCACCAACAAATTTAAAAAGAGAGTACAGCAAAAAGAAAGAAGTAGAAGCTGCTATCATGAAGAGACATCTTCAAAGTAAAGGAAACCAGGATTTTTGCATTAAAACCTTGAATTCATAAACATGCACAGCAGATTGCAATAGATGAAAGTGTGCAATTTATTAGTCCCCGATAACGAGAAGAAATGCCATGCAGATTATAGGCTTTATGGGACCACATAGTTCATCTAAAGTATAATAATCGTAAATAAGACGCTATATATAGGAATAAGGAAAGAAGGCCTTTCAGTTACAACAACTTGAACAGGCTCATCATTTTCTCAATTATAATAGGACTTCCCAAAGTTGATTTTCTCAATTATATGTCTTTCAAGCATATAGATCATTTAATTAAAACTGCTCACTGCTAAATCCTCAAACAGTCAATGACAGAACAAGAAGGAACATTACGCTCAAGTTAAGTGGCTCATATAAAGATAACTTAGCTACAGGAGGTTTTCATCGATGATGAAACAAGTAGCTATGCTTTCCAAAAATGAGAATGGAAAAGTCATTTTAAAAAGCTGTTCCCGCTTTTATAAAAGCTACTTTTTCTTGGTTTCACCCAAGCTCTACAAAATTTCAAAAAATAATTAAAAAAAGGTTAATTCTTGAGTTCACCCAAGCTCGGAAAAGTTTTAAGAAAAATTATGCAAGAACTTAAAGAACAGACAATTCCTAGGTTCAAATTTCGTAACTTTACTTTATTCTAAAGTATAACTAAACCATACCAAACAGCTCTAGCCCTAAAAATCTATCTTAAACTAATTAATGACCAAAAAAAGGTAAAAAGACAAGTTTTTTACTGTAGGAATTTGATCTGACAAACCAGCCATGAAACACTTGGTAGACATACCTTGCTACATGCTAAAAGACTAACAAAGAATCTATTCTTTTGAACTATATAAATGCGAGCCCCAACCCTACCATGTCGTACTCAGAAAGCTACAGTTTGTGTTTGATTTGTTTTGACATATGAAATCAGACTCGATGTGCTGGCATAGTGGATGTTATCACGATTACTACCAATGAATAGTCGAGCATACAATGCTCATAGTTAAGTAGGAAAGCTAAGAGGTATAGTGTTTAACAATATACCAACAATATGAACGGTGATGATAGGCCAATTAACTGGAAGCTTGGTGTTTAATAATACCAACAAAACACACGATTGAGGCTAAATTCAGTTAATCCCACTTCAGTCAAAAAGGACAAGGGTTCAAAGGTTCAGTATGGCTGCTTTCAGACAGAAAGTAAGTTTATCGAGATACAAAACTAAAACACTACGCAAATGGAGCGTCCAATAATAGGACACTATCTCCATTCTCGATTGTGAAAAACTGTCAAAAACAAGGACGCAAAAAGCACAATCTCAAGACTAAACTTTTTTTGACAGGTATACTGATCTACAAAAAATGACCGATGTCAGAGTTACCCAGTACGAAGAAACCATGAAATGTAAACTTGAGAAAGATGTTTGAATTCTGCATTGCATTACCCCGCACCCAAAAGGTAAAGATTTTTCTGAAGAGTAGACAGAAAAAGGAGAAAGATAAAGGGAAGAGAAAGGAATATTCTGTAGGCCGACTTGGATGACATATAGAATACTTGACAAGGGCACTAAATATACAGAGCAATGACAATGGTGGAATAACTTGGAATTCATTGTAACAAGATTAGGAATTGCTGAGAAACCAGCAAGGAAAGATAACATCCTTAAATCTAACAAATCCATCAGCAGAATGAAAAGTAACCACAGAAAATTCTAAATACCCTGGGAATAGAGAAGGAGATTGGCCTTTCAGCTTTCTTTTCATAAGTTTCCCATAAAGGGCATGGAAAAGGTTAGTTTAAGCAGAAGGTGTCTCTATGAGGGGTGCCTAAATGAAACTAGAAAGATTCTATACGAGATATCCGATTTTTGAGGAAAGACTCGGCATCAGAAAGTGAGAAAAGCCTCCATGACTTAAGTGGCCATTATAAATGCCTGAATTAAGTTTTCAGCAGCACGCTTCTGCTCTGGTGTACCAGCTATTAAAGCCACACGGTCGCCCCTAGAGGATTTGGATTCCAAAATCTCTACATCTGCCCCAGATATCTGAAAGAAAATAATGTACACATAAACATGAAGTTAATAAAGTACCAAACAATTAAATTAGAGGTCCATATCCCAGAAAAACTGGATGTCAACTCTTACACCAAAATCTACACTACACAACCCCAAAACTCTATTTCTCCATTTAAGCTTTTGATAATCATTGTACACCAGTTTCTGGAAAGATCCTAAATCACCTATCAAATCAGTTAAAATCACAGAACAACAACTTCATCAGAAGGCTAGCACATTCAAATAATTTTCCCCCTTACATTTTAAAGTAAATCTTCAAGAAGCACTTCATCAAACACCAAAAGTCAAAGTACCATCAAGCACCTGATTGAGTAACCAAGCTTTACCCAAACATACAATTCTATGCTTGATTACAAACAAGTAATTGCGAGCCATTGACCGGTATGCCTTTTCAAAAACATTATTTGCAAAAATCATCACAATCAACAATTAAAAAACTCGCAATGGACACAGGACAGGACGAACTGAAAATACAAACAAATTGGTGCGGCAATTATTAGTGAACGTACAACTGGGCCAATTCTAACAGAAAATTTCGTCCATGACAGAATATGTTAGAGAAAATTATAAACCTAAGGAAAGTTTACTATTATTAATAAAGATGGATCATTTGAAGATATGAAAAGTGTTAATAGTCTGAAGCTTAAGGTACGAGTAACAAAAAACCAACCTTACGTATATTTTCAAGATTTGTCCCCCCTTTGCCCATGACTTTGACAACTGCATGTGCAGGAACCACTATCTCAACCCTAGAGGGTTGACTCAACCTGCTTTACATAGCTATTATAAGAGGCAGCAAACAACAAAAGTAAATAAGCAATAAACTAATTGCTGTAAATGACTTACTCTCCAAAAACTTTCGACGAGAATGCAGACAAAGGACCATAACTGCTATCTCCCATCTGTTTGAATGAAACAAGAAAACTTAACCGCAAAATAATAAAGAAAAGAAAGATGGCAGTATTAAGTAGCAGAAAACATTCGTAACGGCAATGTTCCCCACACAAAAAAAATTTATAACAAAATTAAATACATATATACCCCACACAGAAAAAGTACTCAGAAGGGACAAGGAAGAAAATGTACAGTACATTATACACTGGTCATCTACTTATATGCTTGAGAAGAAGTCTCTTCTTTAAACTATTTCAGAGGCTCCTCATAACTAACTAAAATGATTTCCAATGTCCACAACATGACATGCAAAATTTAATAACCAAAATTACTTTGGGATAATCCTCTGTGTTCTGAAGCCTAATTCTTATTGGTTTCGCTTATCTAAGGGCTTTGGAGAATTAATTGGGCACCATTTGTTTCCAGAGCAAGCATGATGGGAAAAGCATAAGAAAGAGAGGAGCTCATTCATAAAAAAACATGTACAGACGGATATACAGAATCCATTCATCATTGCTTCATGATATAAGATTCCTTCATATTACAATCACATGGTGACAGAATGAAACCACAAACAATGCTGTAATTAAGAACAGGAAATATCCTAGTACAACATGGCAAAGAGAAACATAAATACTATAAATCAACAATAAAACAAGAAACCACGTGTGTCTTGTACAGTATCAGGCTTACAGAACCACGTGTATCATCCAGCATCTAAATCAATGAGTTATGAAACAGAAAACTACTAAGGCAGCTGTAAAGGAAAACCCGAAAAGGGCGTTAATCTTACCGACAATGGACCATATCCATATATGCTACTCGTTGGAAGTATGCCAACACCAGCCCCGGTTTCGGCCCTCTGTTCATAAGCTAATGGAGCAACAGAACGAACATTGGGAAGGACTGGGGGGACAGAAAGACCAGGAACACTAGAGTACATGGAGTCAGAAACGCCAGAATTATTACGACCTCCTTCCTTATCTCTAAGAACATCATCCCGAAGCCTCAAAACAAGCGAAATAAGGGCATCCCTAACACTACTAGCTTCACCAACAACCTGATGCATATCATGGCGACAAACAAGAAAGTTTAGTTTTCAAAAAATCAATAATCAAGAAAGTAAAAATTGATTAAGGTTAAATCTCAGACCTCGACGAGCTCATCATTGCCATCAGCATATCTAGGCTTATCACCTTTCGAGATGCGAATCTCTGCTTTAGTTCTCTTCCTGATCTCGCTAATAATGGAACCACTTTTTCCAATAATACAACCTATTACTTTAGAAGGAACAAGAAGACGTATGGTAACACTGTCATCTTCTTCATCATTTATCTTAGCCTGGAGCATTAATACAGCTTCAACTGCAATGGATTTCCGATCATCTGATGACTGCAGGAAAAAAGTAGGAGATGGTATTAAGATAGGGGAGGAAATGCTTTGAATCTTGATAACAGCTTACACATGATAAGTGACATAACTTAAGAGCATAATGAGAAGAAGAAACACTCTTCAACTCGCCCTTCTATTGGTTTTCCATAAGAGCGAGCAAAAAACAATGCCATACAATGAAAAGATAGCAAAGAGAGTATACCTCGGTTGAGAAGACAGTAATGATACATTCATCACGATCAGCCTTGGCATCTTCTACTTCAACACGAGCACCAGTATCCTGCCTTACACTTTTAATGGAACTTCCTCCTTTCCCAATAACACGACCAATCTTGCTAGATGGACAGAGTATTCTTATACACAGATCCTCAGACCTAGCTGCTCCACCATAACCAGAAACTACAGGAAGGGCAGATGAATAAACAGGAAAGGTATTCCCTGTTTCAGCAAAGCTAGGAAATTCCTGTACATGTCCAGGACCTAAAACAGGAGGAACATGCCTCGGTGGCCCCATAGGATCAACACTAGAGTAGATTCCAGGACCAGTATAAATAGGAACGTCTGAAGGTATAATGATGCTGGGTGGAGGTTCAGGTATTGTGGTATCAAGAGGAATTTCTTCCTTTGGACCAAACTTATACATGATGGCAGATATTGCAAAAAGAGCTTTCTTCACAGCATCGGGATCACCAGAAATCTAATTGTTTCAAATTAAAACAGAAGTTAAAGCTTTGGTAGGTTCAATGAACAAACGAATAATTTCAATAACTTAGCAGCACCACAAGAAAGGCCATACAGGGAAAGGATTTTTCTCCGGAAAAAAAAAATAAAAAAATAAAAAAACTCTACTTGGCATGTATCAATATTTAGTTTGGGAAAAATTTGAATACAGAAATAATAATAAGACTAAATTTGAATGCCAAAAGAGTGAGTAACTAACCATAACAAAGTTGTCGAATGCCAATGCACAGGAATGAGCTGGATCACTAGTATCTTTCGCCATTACCCTAATGTTTGTCCTTGTCCTACTTCTCAGTTTCTTGATAGTAGTCCCTGATTTCCCAATTATATTTGCAGACTGGCTAGCAGGAACAAGAATTTGGCATTCCTCCTTATCTCGCCGCTTCTTATTGTCAGCCTCCACGCCAGACGCAACAGCATTTGCGATTGCTGCATGGACCTTGAGAAGCGCATCCTGAGCAGCACAAAAAGGTTGTCTGTCATCAAACTCCCCGTCAACCTCAACATCTCCTTTCTCCTTAACATAGCAGTATACCGTTATCACTCTATCCTTGGAACCAGGAAAGGGATCCACAACTTTAACCTTTGCCTTCGTATCCTGTCGAATGGAATTGATGACTTTCCCACTTTTTCCGATCACGCTACCAATGACGGTATCAGGACACAGAATTCTATACACTATCAATTCATCACCACTCTTCTGGTCTCTCTCTATCCTCCTCTTCTGGTTCTTATTCTCAATTTCATCTCTCCTAAACCGTTTCCCTGTCTCCCCCATCCTTTTGGTTTCTTTTCAAGCAATTAAAATCTTCCTACTGCAATAAAGAAAAGCCAGGTACCAATATCAATAGCCAATTCGTAAAACTAAAACAACTATCGATTTCAAAAGTTAAGAGATTGCCAACATCTCAAGTTTCCCATCAAAACCATAAAATACAATGTGTGCCTTAAGCAACATTGAATATGCCAAACCAACACAAAACCACAACAATAAACAATTAAGCAGAAAAAACCCACTCGTACAAATTTGTTCTGCATTCAAGGCAAGTACTTTCAGTTTAACACATAAAACTAATCGAACCAATCCAGTGAACTAGAATTTAACTCAAGTTTTCATGTAAATAAGCAGTTCAAGTATAAACACAAATCAACATGGTATCGGCAGATACCGGGCATTCGTCATCAGATTCAATTTGGAGAATCAATATAAAAAAAAGGGATTCAAAAAGACCTCTGTAAAGAATCTGGGTTGCGCAGCAAGGGGGAGAATTGCTAGGCGGCATGAAAAACCATTGCGATTCGGGAGTTCCTTTATTGCTTACGGAGGAAGGGCTTTTTCGTTTCCTTTTTTGTTTATTATTGTTGGTTTGTTGTTATTGTTTAATTGAGTCTACTACTAATAATTAACTAACAATATGAGGGCTCTAAGTGGAATTATTGAATTAAAAAAAAAAAGATTAACTCCCCAATTTGGATAAGTTAAGATTTAAGTGCTTTTTACTGTGTCAGGCTTAATTATTGTGCATAACTGATACTATTATATCCTTATTACTTGATGTTACCCGCACAATGCCAAACAAGATAGAATATAATAATTTTATGAATTTATTAATAAAATAAAAATATATAAACTAATTTTGAGAGTATAAACTAATTTTCAATGCCAAACAATTAACGTCACATAATTAATTAATTAAGGATGAGAGTAATTAGAGTTTTTTTCTGAAGCATAACCAATATTGAATAATTTGTTGCTGCTTGTTTCTGATTCTCCTTGCAGCCCAATTTTTATTGTTGCACAATCTCATTGCTGTCAGATTTTCAGTTTTCTAACATCATGTTTGAAGCAATAAAAAACACAAACAAAGTTCTCAAGTTTAAATTTGATCACTATATACATAAGAACCAATTTTTAAGGTATACATTGACTCCTGTTCTCTACTTTGAAGAATTATGTGCGACAAAACACTTATATTTAAAAAGATGGATCTTTACGGCCTCTTTAACAACACATGATGCCCAAAAACTCCACCCATGCCATGTACACCCTACCAAAATAGAAATAATCATTGAGACATAATAAAGATTCATAAATTAGTGAAAAGAATCGGCTTATAGAAAAAAAATAATTTCATAAACTAAAACGATTTGTTATTTTATGGAGCAATCGAACAGGAAAAAAAAATTGAGGAACAAAGAGATGAAGGATCGTATTTATCGGTGAAGCATCGAAAAAAAAAATGGAATTACCTTCAATTAGAGAGCGATTGCTTGCATAGTTTTATGATAACATTCCATATTATCCTGTTAATACAATAATTTTCTTTCTATAGTATCAACATTTTTTTTTATCTTCATATAATTTAAACACCCGTAATTTGAGATATTTTAAAAATTTTATTTCATATTTATCAAGTTTCCTTTTCGGCAATAAATGATAGGTCATGCATTAATTAAATTCAAAGTAAAAAATTAATAATTAATAATTTAACAAAAAATGAATATTTAATGGAGATATTCAACTCATTATCTTTAGAGATTTGAGCGATACGTATATTAGTCTTCATTTGAGAAAGCTACATGCATGAGAATCCTTTTGTATTTAAAGGCAAGAAAATAAGCAGTGATTTGATTAATTTATTATTGTAACATTTTCCTAATTTCAAAGCATTATTTTCAATTATTGTGCCGAATACATGCTTGATGCAGTTGAATTGTCATATATTTTGTCATTATTATACAGTTGTTTTGAATCTCGTTGTTTAGAAATTGCGTATCATCCTATATTAGCCGTAATTAAGAGATTTACTGATTTTTTGGATTTGATAATTAATTGGTGGTATATTAAATTGAGGGTTGTCATTTTCACCAAGAACGAAAGCCTAGAAAAATAACCAAGAATCTTGACATTAATTATTAATTATTTTTGAATTTCAAAAAATCATTAAAATTGTTTAATGTTTGATTTAATATATGATGGCATCATTCCCATAAATTAGATTAGTTTTTCAAATCAATTAGTTTTTATTATGAATCAAATAAATATTTACCTTTTTTGGGTGACATATAATGGAAAAAAAAGTATTAATGTAGATTCTTTAATAAATATTTCGTTTTTTTTCATCTCACCAAATACAAAATAGAAAGTTTACTATACAATTAATTGATATACTTAAATTGCGAAATTTAATACTTCAATAACTGGAAATTCAAAGGACTTTTTGTATAATTGTTGTAAATATTTTTTATAACAACCTATAGGAAATTGACACGTAGAATTTTATCCTATGTAGCAACGTGAGAAGAAATTTGATTTTCTCTTTCTGGTTTTTCTCTTAGTATAATATAATATATAGATCTCTATATATATATATATATATACTTATAAAAGTTCAGAGAGTGTATTCTCCAGTTTATTCCAATATTTTGATGGGTCGAAAAGTTCTAAATAACATTAGATTTTTTAGTAAGGGTTATAATTATTTAGCTTTTGTTTAATAAATTCATAAGTTTACATTTAGATTAGTAGCTGATTGACAATTTTTTTTTTAAAAAAATAAAAAGTAAATTGATTTCACAAAAAAATACTCCCTCCAATTCTTAATACAAAGCATTTTGATTTTGTCGTAGGTTTCACGGGGTACGTAATTTTAATTGACGAAAAAATCTTAAAAATATATTTTCACATTCATTGTGTTCTCTTGATTGTTATGAAATGTTTTTAAGGTTTTTTTGTCAATTAGAAATGCGTATTAAGTGAAAGTTAGGACAAATCAAAATGCTTTATATTAAGGACCGGAGGGAGTATGATGCAAGGAAACAAAATTCTTAAGTGGAATTTTTTTTCAAGAAAATAAAAATAGAGAGATCAGGTCGAATCACAACTCAATATCTAAAAAAAAACAATTTACAATCTTGTGGGGAAATTACATGTCGTTTGAGGCACATATATAGCTCCTACTATCTTGTCTATTACAATAATGTTCATTGTTGCGCCTATTTACAACTTACTACATCAAATTGTGACACCAAAAATTGGCCGGTAAAGAACACCAATTCAAAGAGGTAAGCACAATAAACTTCCATAACAAGATGTTGAAGAGTGCAAACTGAGAAATTTCTCAGGAAGGACCTTTCAATCTGGACTCAAATTCTCTTCTTATGATCTCCAATACCATTTCATTCCATACATCAACTGGACCTGGCATGCACCAGTGCAAGCAGTCCTGGGGTGGAGGCTTACCATCTGGACCTCGTTTCACGATTTTGTTTGGATCAGGGTTCCGATATGGACCAGGATGCCCATCATGCCGATAGCTGAATACTTTTGTGGTATCCATTAGTATCACTTTCGATTTGTTTGTCTGCTTTCTGATCCCTTTGTAGATTCCTGTCAGCTGTTTCTCATGCATTAGGTTAGTGAACACATTTTCGACTAGTTCACTGTCAAGAAGAGGCTTTTCTTTTCCTGTGCATGATCCTCCTGTATTCCAAGCTCCTCCCTCATAGTGATCAGGTGAATAAGAACGCAAGATTGTTACCCCAGAGTAATTCGAATGCTGAACCATCGCAGTCATAATAGTCTCAACTGAAATCCCAAAAGCTTCAGTGTTGTTGATCTTCATTTCTTTGGTCTTGTCAGGCCACCACCGTTGCCCTCCAACAATCTCGTTGTTAAGGATATATACAGACTGCTTTGTAAACCAATGCCCAGAGGAGAGGATGATTACATCAAAGGTTGGAATATGTTCCATTAATCGCTCATCAGGAGAGTCGAGGAAGATCTTGTCTACCCCAGCAGGAGCAAAATCAAATGGTTCAGATGTTTGATGCACAAGCCAGGTAGACCATATCCGGACAATCATGGTTGACGTTGATCTGAAGTAATAACGCTCCATGTTCTGGTTCCCACGCTTTTCTGGGACTTCAACCTGAAAAAGGTCCAGAATGCTGAAAGTGAAAAGGATGAACCAACACGAAGATGCAGAAATTGGTATAGTTATTGGGTAGCATACAAATCACCTCACGAATACTTCTATTGGCAAAATCTAGATAAACTTATCGAAGAGACCATCCTTTCAAGATAATCTTTTTCGCAAGATTGCTTATGCAGCGATACCCTGAATGCCTTTTAATGAAGCTCTTTAAAACTTGAGCTCGTATTTTCTTCTGCAATAGAGTGGTTGTACCTCCATTCTATCAAACAGAAATAATAAACACAAAGAATGTCCCCCATGCAGATCCTTGAAGAGCAAGGCTTCATCATATGTAATTGGCGTAGTGCTATGATTCTAAATTCCTAACAATAGATACTGCTTCCGTAATGTCCAGTTCTTGAACTATTTTTAGTACAACAAACGTGACAATTATTTTGCGACGGATGCATTAGAAACATGGCTACAACCAGTCAAAGAAAGCCAAAATAGTAAAGCTTGAGATTATAGATACTAGTGATGCCGAAGTCATTTAGTTCTAGATGAAGGTATTTGTGCTAAAAAAAAAAAGATAAAATAAAAATAATGGCAGTAGAATAACCAAGGCAAATGCAGGGCATGCAATAAATAGAACAAGGAGTCCTACTAAAGACACGGACAATCAAATGCAGATTTAAGGAAAACAAAACTGACAGGCAGTCCATAGATTCACAATTTTCAAGGGAAAAGAAGCTATTGAAAGTCTCCCACCTCGTTTAGATTTTCATGGAAGAAAACTAGAATTCTAACCTGCCAAAGAATGCACAAGAGGGATTCCATTTGATTGCGAGCCACCGAATCGCCAATAAAAGCCAAAGTCTTTCCTCTCATCAATTCCAAAAACCTCTTAGCATCAAACCGAGGAAGGTCACATTGTGCAGGTTTCCAACGCCAATTCTGATATTCTTTGTCAGGCCTACCATTTGACTGACAATTGTGCATCTGTGACAGCACAGGGCATGAATTACTTGCATATAATGGTCCAGTTGAATCATAAATCCATTTTCCCTGGTAAAGATCACAACCTTCAACAAGTGTAGGACAAAGTTTTATCAAGAGTTTGAGGACCTGATGAACAAAAAAAACATAACATCTTGCATTGCAGACATTGACTTTCCTACAATAAATAGTAATGATCACATATAGTCAGATTAGAGTGGGCAAGGCTACTACCTTAAAACCATAGTAGTGCCAGTGATTAAACAAGTAAAAATTCTTTCAATCACATGTAGTATTAGCTCAAAGAATATGCAATAAGACATGAAATCTTCTTGCTGCAAGAACTATGGCTTTTTTGGTCAGTAGGACCTCTAAACCTAGCAAGGCCAAAACTTGTGCAAATGTAGATGTGAACTTGTTTCTTAGATTTGAAGTGCAGACAATAACAATTTTGCCACTCGGTTCAACAGATTGTCCTTACATTTATTAGTTTAGAATCAGTTTGTGATTTATCCAATCAGACATACAACACCTGAATTGAAAATATTAGTTGACTTTTCCTCATAAAAAACTTTAAGAGAAAGATATGAGATTTTAGAGTCTGAATTCTGAAACACAGGTGCCGGTAATGAAGCTCCTTTGTTGGCAGATATGAGAAGTAGAAATCATCCAAGCTGCTCTTTAGATTCCTTTCTTTCACTAACATCAATTATAAGGAGAGGTTCCGGTTGCAACTAAGTTACGACCTAATGACCCACTGCAAATGCAGGTACAAGTAGCCAGTCTGAAGACCACAACCAGGTCCAAGTTACACCATCATAAAGAGTGCCACAGCCTCTAAGCTTATTGTATGCAGATATATTTAACATAATTGTGCTCCAGAACCAAAAGTGAAGACAATGAAAACTCATCATATAATTGAAACCGTTGTAACAGTTCGGAATTTTAGGTCTTGCTAATTGTCACCTCAGCACGCGTGAGGCATAAATATAGTTCCGAATCACTTTTTATATTTTGCTCCCTGTATCTCGTAACCAACTAAACTGTCTTAGACACAAAGTTATCATAACAATAATCATATACATCAGGAGTGGCTAACATAAAAACTGCGCTGCTAACCAAACTCCAATGAAAATATAAAGCATGGTAACATGTTGCAACTCTCAAGACATGGTGGCATGGACAACTTAGAACAGACAAGTAAGTAACTTCAACAACTTAAAAACTTTAAGGGATTGTCTAATAACTAAATAAAAACCATTACAAGTCAAATCAAACACAACTATTATAATAAACTGAAAATAAATGCTGGAGTACCTGAAGTTGCTAAATTATCTGCCGTTCTGTTGCTCTTCTGCACATTAGCACCATCAAACACATCCAAAGTTGCAGTTTTATTGCCGGCGGTGTCGGCATTCTTACCACCATTGGAAGATTGTTTAGTTCCTATTTCAAGAACAAGCCCGGATGAATTTCCATTGCTAATACCACTTACATTAGTCTGAGATGGCTTAGAACTTGTTCTGTTATTACTAGTAGCAAAATGATCAACTTTTACGGTTCGATCAACTCCATAAAAATAACTGCTAACTGTGGAACCGATTGGGTGTGAAATTAAAAGTAATGAAGCAATAACTAAGAACATTGCCACCCCTCCTGCTGAAGCCACAATTGGGGCAACAGTTTTAGGAAAGGCCATTTTTTGGGAATTTTCTCCAGATAAAGATGAATCCATGATTGACTGCCCCTTTTCTTGTTTTGATCCAAAATTTTTACCACAAAAACTGGGCACTTACAAGTAGTAGGTTTTCCTGTTGCATTAGCAATTGAAATTCATAGTTTAGAAGGAACTCATCCTATAAAGAAAGATTCTTTTTTTTTTTTTTTTCCTCAAGCACAATTTAGAAAAACATGTATAAAAAATCTAGGGAAGAAAAGGGTTGAAGAAGATGAACTCACTATATGTACGTGCCAGGGCATTTGATGCAGAGAAAAAACAATCAATTGGGATTCATTTCCCCAATTTCGCAATCAAAATTCGAAATCAGGGTTCTGATCCGGAGAAACAAAAACCCCCCTTCAAAAATGGGGACAAGTTTGGCGGACAATGGTTCAGAGAATGATTAAAAAGCAAAATTGCCATTTTCTTCCGATTCAGAAAGATTTAAAAGTTTGTGATTTCATATGGGTGTGAATCATGAGTTGATTGCGGAAAATGTCTGAATTCTGCAGTATACACTGATAAATTTACAGACACTTGGAAGCAATTCCGGATCAAAAGGAAAATGGATATGTTACTATTATCTTTTGATTGTGCGTTAATGAGAGTGGTACTGATACTGTTTCTATGGTTGCATCTTGCATGCATGTAATATCAATTGTGCCTCAGTTTTGAGTTTCCAGATGAAGTAATTACTCCGTCCCAAAATGATTGTTCCATAGAATACAATTTTACGAATAATGAACATCTAAACTAAACAATTATTTTAAGACAAAACAAATATAAGTTAAGATTGACTCTTATTATGGGACGAAAATGGTAATATGAGAAAGTTTAACCCGCCCAAAAATAGATTTCAATTTTAGTTGTTGCCTTTTGATGTAGTAATGGTTTAAAACCAGAATCTGCCATTTCAGTTTCGACACCTGGACCAAAACCTTGGTCAGGTCTGATTACAACTCACTATTGAAAAGTAATCTACAATCTCAAGCCTATTACATATGCTCGGACAATACCGAGTCTGTTACAGTTATGTATGTATGTATATTGTTGCCTAAAAAGAATAGTTCATTAACCGTTGCGTCTAGTACTCTAGTTATATAACTTACTACAACAAGTTGTGACAAAAAAAAAAAATGGCGTGTGAAGAACATCAGTTCAAAGAGATGAGCTCAGGATCTGATAAGAAGATGTGGAAGATTGCCGCTAAGAAATTCCTCATGAAGGACCTTTCAATCTGGACTCATATTCTCTTTTTATGATCTCCAATACAATTTCATTCCATACATCAACTGGACCTGGCATGCACCAGTGCAAGCAGTCCTGGGGCGGAGGCCTACCATCCGGACCTCGTTTCACAACCTTGTTAGGATCAGTGCTCCGATAAGGACCCGGATGCCCATCGTGCCGGTAGCTGAAGACTTTTGTTATATCCATTAATATGGCTTTTGACTTGTTTGTCTGGTTTTTGATACCTTTGTTGAATCCTGTCACCTGTTTCTCATGCATTATGTTGGTAAACCCATTCTCGACTAGTTCACTATCAAGAAGAGGCTTTTCCTTTCCTGTGCATGATCCTCCTGTATTCCAAGCTCCTCCTTCATAGTGGTCAGGCGAATAAGAACGCAAGATTGTAACACCAGTGTAATTCGGATGCTGAACCATTGCATTCATTATGGTCTCGACCGAAATCCCAAAAGCCTCAATGTTGTTAATCTTCATTTCTTTGGTCTTGTCAGGCCACCAAAGTTGGCCTCCAACAATCTCATTGTTAAGGATATATACTGACTGCTTTGCGAACCAATGCCCTGAGGAGAGAACAACTACATCGAAAGTTGGAATATGTTCCATCAACCGCTCATCAGGAGAGTCAAGGAAGAGCTTGTCCACCCCAGCAGGAGCAAATCCAAATGGCTCAGATGTTTGGTGCACTAGCCAGGAAGACCAAATCCGGACAATCATTGTGGATGTTGATCTGAAGTAATACCGTTGCATTTTCTTATTCCCGCGGTTCTTTGGTTCTTCAACCTGAGATAGATCATCAATGCTAAAAGTTAAAAGGGAAAAGCAAAAGGAGTGTTATTTTCTGATATCATGCGGAACCATAAAATTAGCTCATATTTGCATCTGCAATGGAGTGATTCTAACTTCATTGTAAATAAACACGAAAAATTGTGCTTCATGCAAAGCAATGAATACTGAGAATTTAGAGCTCCAAACGAGAAGGGTTCATATAATGAGCAATCTACAAAGTGCTATGGTTCTAATAATTCATAATGAACATGGCTGCAACCAATCAAAGAAAGTGAAAAAGTAAAGCTAAAAATTAGGATTTAAATAACCTCTAGGCTATAGGTAATTGATGTCAACAAGCATTTTGTTCCAGATAAAATTATTTTAAAAAAAGGTATGCCGCGATAATAAGAATAAACTAAAAAAGAGGAACCTCTAGAATTCGTACAACAGTGATACCGAAGGCATTTAAGAAAAAAAGAGAAAAAAGTTTCCAGTAGAAAGATCAAGGAAAATGCACAAGAAATAGAACCAGGATATCCATGGGAAAGACAATATGGACAAAATAATGAAGGACAATGAAATGAAGATTGAAGAAAACCGCTGCTAAAGGCCAGTGGCTTAAAACTTTCGAAGTGTTAAGAAGCTATAGGAAGCCTCCGGTATTTTGCATTAGATATTATAGAAGATAGAACTCCGACCTGCCAAAGAATGCACAACAAGGATTCCATTTGATTGCGAGCCACAGAATCACCAATAAAAGCTAAAGTCTTTCCTCTCATCAATTCCAAAAACCTCTTAGCATCAAACCGAGGAAGGTCACACTGTGCAGGTTTCCAGCGCCAATTCTGATATTCTTTGTCGGGCCTTCCATTTGACTGACAATTCTGCATCTGTGACAGCACGGGGCAAGAATCACTCGCATATAGGGGTCCAGTTGAATCGTAAACCCATTGTCCCTGGTAAAGATCACAACCTGTAACAAGTGTAGGACAAAGCTCCATCAAAGGTTTGAGGATCTGATGAACATAAACAACATTACATCTCGCATTGAAAATATTGAATTCCCAGCAATAAGTAATAGTGATCACATGTATTCGTATTAGAGTGGGGAAGAACAAGACCTTTAGATTCCATGGTAGTGCCACCATTTAGACAAGCAAATGAAATTCTTTTGATCAATTTAACACATTAACTCAAACAATTTGCATTGTGGTACGAACGCTTTCTTGTGGAACTACGACTTTGTTCCCTTAGAAGGACCTCTCGACCTCACACGGCTAAAACTTGTTCAAACAATAGTCAACTAATTGTCTCTTAGACACGACGTAATGATAACAACCAATTATGCCACTCATGTCAACATATTGCCAATAGAGTTCTCGATACACGTACCAGCTTAGGCGAAGGAACATACAACACAAATTGAAAATACTAAATCACTCGTCCTCATGAGATAAACTTCAGACAAAAAAAAACAAAATAGATTTGAGAATTTATAGTTAGAGACACAGGTTGCAATATTGAAGTTATTTCATGGGCAAATATGTGAAGTAAACATAACTGAAGCTGCACATCTTTCTTTTCTTTTTATCTGCTAAGATCAATTAAAAGGTTGGAATGATTCAAACTGGTTGGCTATAACCTTAAACACCTACAAATAAAGGAACAAGTAGCCAGACCAAAGACTGAAAACCAGGCTGAAATTATGCTATCATAATCAGTGCCAGAACCTTCAGAGCAAGCTTACGGCGCGTAACGTGCTCTGGAACCAAAATAAAGAGAATGCACTCATCTATTAGTGTTAAACCTGGATAAAAGTTTGATTTTAAAGTATTGGTAACAAAGCGTCAATGAGAATAGAAAGCATAGTAACAAATTGCAAGTTTTCAGAGATAGGCATGAATAAACTACATGATAAAGTAAACCACTTAAAGACTTGAGCATATACCGGGATTTTTTAAAACCTAGATCAGAAATCACCACCAAGCCAATGAAACACATATCCTAAAACAAAAACCAGAAGCAAATCATACAAATATGTATATGAGAAGCAAATCATACCTGAATTCGCCAAATTAGCCTCTGTTCTGTTGTTCCTCTGCACTTTGGTACCGTCCAATACATCCAAAGCTGTAGATTTGCGGTCGACTGTTTCAGCATTCTTACTACCATCCATTGATTGCCTAGGTTCATCATTCTTACTGCCATCCATTGATTGCTTAGCTCCTCTTTCAAGAAAAAGCTCGGATGAACTTTCATTACTATTCCCACTAACATTAATCTGAGATGGCTCAGAAACTGTTGTTCTATTCCTAGTAACAAAAAGATCAACTTTTCCTGTACGATCTACCCCATAAAAATAGCTACTAACAGTGGAACCAATTGGGTGCGAGATTAAAAGCAATGAAGCAATAATTAAGAACATTGCAAGCCCTCCAGCTGAAGCCATAATTGAAGCAAGAGTTTTAGGATAGGCCATTTTTTGGGGATTCTCTCTGGATGAAGCTGAATTCATGGCTGCCCCTTTTCTTGATTTGATCCAAACCAGATTTTCATCAAAGTTTCTGGGTTCTAAACTTATAAAACTGGGCACTCACAAGTAGCAAGCATTCCTGTAGCAACAGCAATTTTAGGGAGTCAATCTTCAATACTTGCAATCAACCAAGAACCCAAAAAAGGGGGAAAAAAAACAAACGGATTCGAAATCTTAAAAGAATCTATAATTTCCCAGCCAAAATTTGAAGGAAAAAAAAGAAAAGAAAGAGGGTGGAAGAAGATAAAACTCACCAGCTGTCCCACGGCATTTGCGGCAGAAAGATGACAATCAATTAAGATCCCTTTTCTTCAATTCCGCAATCAAATTTGTAATTAGGGTTCTTATGCGGATTAACAAAAAAAATCCCAGAAAGTAATGTTGATAGATCAGAATGAGAGGTCCAATTTGTTTGGTTTCAGCTGGAAAAAAAAAAAACTGAAAAAAGAAAGAAAGAGAGAGAAATCTCAGAAGCAAAAAAGAAGCTGGAGAATACTGTCAGCTGATTGCTGAAGCAAGAAACGTGCATGCCTCGTACCTTGACGAATGTCTTTTAGTATCAAGAGTACAGTCATTTACATAATTTTTGTTTTTCATTATAATAAACATTATTTTTCCTTTTCATTATAATAAACATTATTTTTCCTTTTCAATTTGACTAATGTGAATTTTACCAGACTGTATTAATTTGTTGTTAGAGTTGGATTCAAAGAACTGCTGCGATTAGAAAAGTATTAGTATTATCCATCTCAATAACATATTTTTTTCCATATATATTTCATATTATACAGCAGTGATTTTCTATATAATAGACTAGGTGTTAAGTCCGTCCGTTGGACCGTCAATATATACAACTAGTAATTATAATATTTATCAAAATAAATTAATTGCTATTCTATAAATCTTATGCGAAAAAATAAAAAAGTTTTGTAGAATATATATAACGGCTTCATTCATACTGAAGCTATAAAATTCAAAAACCAAAAATACTTTATTTAATATCTCGTAGCATGTAATAAAACCTATAAAAAACGTATTTAACTTTAAATTGAACTAGATGCTTGGCCCAGGCAGATGCCTGGGCTCTCTCTCTATTTTAATTTTGTGTTAATAGATAAATAAATTTTTAATTTGGAAAAAATAAAATAGCTACACATTTATTTTTTCCTTTTTTTAGCCAAAAATAAAAATAAAAATAAAAAATCATCTGCAAATGAGAAAAAATATTGAAAAGTACACCGATGCAGAAATCATACAAAAGAATGTGGAGTAAAAAAAGGGATAAGTTTATGGACAAATTTAAATCCTATCTTAATTTGATTGATAAATGATAAGAAGTTTTTTTTTTTAAAAAAAAGAAAGGGATGACATGTGCCAAAATGGTTAAAGTAATATAGTGCATTTGGAGCCAAAATTTTTTAATAAGAAGTTGCCACATCAACATCCTGTATTCTGCTTTAATAGGGTAAAAGGGATAATCATATGTCTCGAAAGATAGTTGATCTGTTTCAGTTTTTTTTTTTTTTCTGAACAGATAAATTTTTTCTGCTTGATTTTTGTGCCTTCGTTTCGTTTTCAAGAACCGCTCGTGCCTCATAAATATGTGACCTTGAAATTGTAGGCTCATGAAGAGGAGAAGAAGTGTTATTTTCATTGCAATTGCTATCTTCAGCGGCAACAATATTTTCCCAAGTCTTTGCAGTCCAGAAATGATAGAAACCAGACTTAAATCCTATTTATCTTCATTAGAAAACACAGATCACATATCCATAAACCATTTAAACTCCTGAAAATTCCAGTTCGGACACACTCTTATTGCTACCATTCAAGCAATCTCCATTCACCGGGAAAGCCAATTTTAAAATATTTACCACTTACTTTGAACTTTTTCACTCGAGTCCATTAAAATATTTCCTCCCGGTAAAAATCTTTTTTCTCTTGACCTAACCCATATAAGTTAAACTAATAAGATTTCTCAAACCCTATCATTTATGGTGAGGTCTTTTGGAATAATGACCAAGCTTTGAGTTTCCTTTTTTATTTTTTTAATTATTTTTTAAAATATTCTTTTCATGGTTTTTTAAATTTCTGAAATATGTAATTTTTGAAATCTCAAGAATACCCTATCACATTCATCAAAATAGGTCAATCGGTAAACTTAAATGACAATTCTGTAAATTTTGGACCAAAAATGTTAAAGCGGATTTATTGCGGACCAATATCATCAAATTGTTTGTTACAAGCAATATTCTTTTGGTCATTTGTAATGGACTAATTATGAGGTTTAGTTTTCTTTTTTAAAAAAAAAAATTAGTTGAGGTGGAGAGTTATGGAGCTGGAAGAGTCGTCATTGACAATTCTTTCAACTTTGTGTTAATAATGAATTAGATCAAAATGGCTCATTTAAATTCCGGCGCTTCTTAATTTGGTGAAGTTTCCAGAAATCAATACATTAATGCACTAATGCATCTTGGGTCGTACTACTTAAACAGCCTCTCTGTATTGATATACAGGGGTAAGGCTCCATACATCCTGACTCCACAGACCCCAACCAAGTTGGAAATATATTGGGTTGTTATTGTTATTGTTGGTTGAGAGTTATGGTTAAGCAAAAAGAACTCACTCGTCATTAACTATAGATCGTGACTTTGAAACAAATAAAAATGGAAGAGTTCGAAATATTTTGGTCAACCATTTCACCTGTTGAGACCGTCTTAAACTTACTTGTTAAGGTAGTTAATTCTCCAAGACTATGGAATTTAAGATAGTCTTAAATCTTATGGTCAATTATCTCACCAGTTGAAATGCCTTAATACTGCCCCTTAAGCTTATCCACTCAGTGAAAATGTCTTAGTCCTATTCGTTAAACTACCTTGGTAGTTGTCCCATTCGTTAATAGACCTTAGTCACTATTGGAATATTTTTAAATATCTTTGGACCAATTTTCGCACCTGATGAAATGTCTTAGTCTAATATGTTAAGGTTATATCCTCTCTATTAGAGCAATTTTAACTTTTTTTGCCAAGTGTCCCATCTCAACCACCCATAAATTTTTTTTATCAATTATTTAGTCTTGTCAGTTAAGACTAGATGCTTGTCCGGACGAATGCCCGAGGAACGCCTAAAATTTAATTCAGATTAATTTTAAAATAAATAGAAAATGAATAAAACTTCTAGTAATATACATTATGGATATTCAAGCATATTTTAATAAAATTAGGAGAAAACAATATAATTTCTTACTCTGTTCAACTACTTATGAACTTGAATAGTTGGGAATCTAAAGGCAGAACCAGAATCAGATTGGATTTCGCATTCATTATAATGATAAGCCGTTTAAATAAAAATTGGTTGTTTGACCATTGGCCAAACACTAAAAGGTTGTCTCTAGCTAAGTGATAGTACAAATAGTCAAATACATATGAATAGTATTTAATCTAAGAGAGGTAGCAGCTAACTGAGTGTGAAATACATCTGCAGAAACAACATGTTATCAGGCCAAAATCAAACAAAAAATAGATACATGAACATCAATTTGGTGAGACTATTTTTGATTTGTTTTGTGTTTCTCTCCCTTGCTTTCCCAAGGAAATGCCCTACAAAGTCAGAAAGAGTTGGGATCAGATTATGGTGGACATTATAACTTGGTTGTTCAAGCCAAATTCTATAAGTAAAGCAGAAAAATATCACATATATTTATTTCTTCAATGATTACAGAGAATTTACAAATTAACACGAACAACACCAATAATCGGTTGTTGCAGATAGAACAAACTTCACTTTAGGAGTACCAAAATAGATTACAATACTCTCATTGCAACACTGATTAACGGATCACTTTAATATTGGGTAAGCCAGTTACAGTGCACAAAGGATTACCACAATAGTAATTGAAGTAATTTTGATGAGTCAACACACTGGCAATTTCAGGAGTTTTAACCACATAACCAATTGAAATTCCATTCACGATGCCACATTAAGTACAAAAACAGCATCTAATCAAGCAATACAACGGCTTTGTGTCAGTTAGAATTTTCAAACCTAAAACTTGGAAATAAAATGAATTTTAGAAAATGAAAATTTTTAACTTATCTAACATAGTGTCTAAATGTAGTGATAAAAAAGATTGTCATAGAGATCCTGACCAAGGATTTCTATGGTAAGAAAAACAGGTACAACACCATGAGCCTCAAATCTCCATAAATAGTTTCCGGTTTCGACGATTATGTTTATATAATCATCATAACTATATTTCCTGGTAGACATATTTGGCTGTAAATAAGTAGATGGAGTAAAATGGCAGTGGCAGTCTAGATATTACGTGTTAGGAGAAACATTACTACTTACAAAAGGCTCCGCAAAAGGCTTATCAACCTGTCTCTCCATCAAACAGTTCCAACAGTAAGGATACAACAACATGTGCATTTAATATCCTAACCAGCAAATCATCTAACTGTTTCAACACTAAATTCCCAAAGGGGTACCTGCAAAGTAATTTGAGCAGTCCAACCAAAAAGATAAAGATATACGTTCATCAGAGGCCAAACAACATATGGTGGACACAAAAGTTTCAAAGAGGGCACCGGGAATAATAATTAAAAAAAAGGTTATAAGTACTTTTGATTATTTACTCTATATCAAATCAAACTAATCAAAATTTGCCAAAATTTAAATTGATAAACAATACTAAACATCCCTAACACCCAGAAATTAAGATAACTTTACCTTGCTAATATTACGACAACGGCTAAAAGAGTAATTAATCTTTCATTGACCTTCTTTAGTCCATTCCTCTGGGACTATGTTCTTCAATGTGGATGAAGATTGTGACCTATCAGGTGAACTTGAATCCATCCTAGTATGACAACGACTCATCAAAGTAACAGCAATTGTCGCTTCTATTTGTTCCTCTCCATATCGTCCCTTCAATGTTTCTTGACATTCCAAGCTTCATCCTTTCTCCAACCTCGAAATAGCAGTCCTATAAAAACTGAAGCATATATAGCATGTAAATAGCTTATAAGATTAAGGGACAAATATTTTAGAATATCAAGATCATACTTCTCTAAATCAAAAACATAAAAAGAAAGAAAGGATCTAGCCTTGACCCAAGTTTCAAACTCTTAGATCTTGAAGAAAGAACTTCAATTCTGAATACGAATGAGTTACAAAATAAAGCTAAGTCTAGACAATCCTTTGTCACATGACAAAACTAAAAAAACTGACATGAACATGAAAAATGAAGAAAACAAAATGTTAAACTAAAACGTTCAATTCTTGAAAATGAAAGCAAAAACAAACTGGCAAACAAAAAAATTGTTGCTACACACATTAACACAATCAAATTGGCTCACTGAATGCATTGGCATGCCAGATTTTTCTTATCATCAGTGAAATAAGAACAAAGGGTCATAAGCAGCACCATTTAGGAACTTGTAATTCAAAATAATAAATTCCTTCTCTTATTTTAAATAGAGAAAAAGAAAAGACAACTACAAAATACATGGATGCAAGGCAAAATTAATACCAGACTGGCATCTAAAATTTTTAATCATTTTGTTGAGATTCAAATTGAGA